TCCCCGCTGTCCCCAATCGTCCCCGCTGTCCTCAACTGTCCCCACTGTCCCCAAGTGTCCCTGCTGTCCCCAACCGTCCCCGCTGCCCCCAAGTAGCCCAAACTGTCCCCACGGTGCCCCACTGTCTCCAGCCATCCCTGTGGTACCCCGCTGTCCCCAACCATCCCCAACCATCCCTACTGTCCCCAACCGTCCCCGCTGTCCCCAACTGTCCCCACTGTCCCCAAGTGTCCCCGCTGTCCCCAACCATCCCCACTGTCCCCCTTGATGCCCAGCTGTCCCTATCATTACCATCCCCATGATCCTCAACCATCCCCAGTGTCCCCAGCTGTCCCCAACCACCCCCACCACGCCCATCTCTTGTGCCCAACCATCCCCATCACGCCCAGTTGTCTCCAACCATCCCTCCTGGTGCCCTACTGCCCCCAACCATCCCCGTTGATGTCCAACTGTCCCCAACATGGGCTGGCTTCCACGAGGTGAAGCAAGACCTTACCCCCCCACACCACAAGGACTTTCCGGGGGCAGAGGACGCCGCGGCGCTGATTGCATCACCCACGAGCTCAAAAACTGCCGAGACGGCAAAAATCTTGCCCCATAAACAGCCAAAAAGGAGAACCAAGGGCCCGAGGTCTTGCTCAAGGCTTGAAGGAGCTTCAATATTTATTGGCGAGGGTGGACGTGGCTAGGGTGAAGGAAGGGGGAGGGTGAAGGGCAGCCAGCCCCCCCCAGCAGTGGGGTGGACTTGACTTTTTGGGGTGGACTTGACTTTTTGGGGTGATAGAGGTGGGGTGTTGAGCTCACAGGTGGGCTCACCCACATCTTGGGCCACGCGGGGTGGTGGAGATGTGGGGCTGGGAGGGGATTCATGGGGCAGCACGGTTCTTCTGGGGCAGGAGCTGGAAATGGGGTCCGTGGTTGGGCTGGAGAAGCAGAAGAATGTGGCATTGCCTGCAAGGACCAAGTCCTCTGGCCGCTGGCAGGCCACCAAGGAAGCCAGGACGAGGCCCTCAAGGGTAGGTGGGCACCCAACTTGCCCAGCCTGCAAGCACGGGGGGCAACTGGTGGGGAAAGGGGGCAATGGAGGCGTCATCTTCTTTCTACGGGGCCCAGTGGGACCTCCAGGAGATGAAAAGGTGGTGGCCTCAAGCAACACACAGGAGGTTCCAGCCCTAGAGCCACTTCGCTCCTGGTCACACCGTGGTGCTGACACTTTGGTCATCCATGGTGGACTTGGTCTTCATCCTGCTGTCCCCCATGGTGCTGGTGGGGTCATCACTCAGCGCTGCCCGCAGCACGGCTCTCCAAGAACGCCGGAACTTATCTTTGAAGTCCTGGCCCATGATGACGTAGATGATGGGGTTGATGCAGCTGTTGATGTAGGCAATACCGGCCACGACGGGGTCAACTTCCATGGCGCCCTTGAACAAGCTGCTCTGAGGATGGGTGGAGGCCAGGATCAAGCCCACGATGTGGTAGGGCAGCCAGCACACAAAGAAGCTGATGATGACCACCAAGATGAGCTTGATGGCTTTCCGAGAGCGGGCAAAGCCTTTGCTGTGGACACGGGCCAGCAGTAGGCTGTAGCAAGCCGTGATCACCACGAAAGGCACCAGGAAGCCGCAGATGAAGCGGGTGACGGCCGTGACGAGCTCAGTGAGCTGCTGGTGGTGCCCCACGGCCGAGTAGTCCAGGACGCAGGTGGTCTTGTCGGAGAAATGATCGATACGGGTGGAACGGAAGATGAAGGAGGGGAGGGTGAGGAGCCCAGCCAGGAACCAGGCGGCCGCGCAAGCCCCCCGGGCCAGCGCCAGGGTCCGGTGGTTTTGGCACCACACCGGCCGCGTCACCAAGGCACAACGGTCAGCACTGATGACCATCAGGAGGAGGACGCTGGCAAACATGTTGAGGATGGTGAGGGAGGGCAGCAGCTTGCAGGAGAAGAGACCCAACGGCCAGTGGTGGTCATGGGCCAGCGGCAGGGCCAGGAAGGGCAGGGCCAGGCAGCACAGGAGGTCGGCCACAGAGAGGTTGAGGAACCAGACGCCGTTCACCGTGCGCCGCAGCTCGAAGCCGGTCACCCAAATGACGGCCCCGTTGCCCAAGATGCCCAGGAGGAAGATGAGGGCGTAGAGCGCCAGGATGGCACGGTAGCTGTGAGGGACTTCATAACTGTCCAAGTCATACATGAAATAGTCATCGTCCCAGGTGGAGTCATTGAAGGTATCATTGGACGTTGACAAGTTCATCCTCCACCAGCTCCCAACCTAGAAACCGTGCTCTGTTAGACCATCATCGAATGGGTTTGGGTTGAAGGGACCTTCAAGATCACCCAGTCCAATCCCAGCATGAGCAAGGACACCTTCCACCAGATCAGGTCTCTCAAAGCCCTGTCCCTAGAGTCATGGAAGGGTTTGGGTTGAAGGGACCTTCAAGATCACCCAGTCCAATCCCAGCATGAGCAAGGACACCTTCCACCAGATCAGGTCTCTCAAAGCCCTGTCCCTAGAGTCATGGAAGGGTTTGGGTTGAAGGGACCTTCAAGATCACCCAGTCCAATCCCAGCATGAGCAAGGACACCTTCCACCAGATCAGGTCTCTCAAAGCCCTGTCCCTAGAGTCATGGAAGGGTTTGGGTTGAAGGGACCTTCAAGATCACCCAGTCCAATCCCAGCATGAGCAAGGACACCTTCCACCAGATCAGGTCTCTCAAAGCCCTGTCCCTAGAGTCATGGAAGGGTTTGGGTTGAAGGGACCTTCAAGATCACCCAGTCCAATCCCAGCATGAGCAAGGACACCTTCCACCAGATCAGGTCTCTCAAAGCCCTGTCCCTAGAGTCATGGAAGGGTTTGGGTTGAAGGGACCTTCAAGGATCACCCAACTCCAACCCCATCATGGGCAAGGACATCTTCAGGTTGCCCCAAGTCCCGTCCAACCTGCCCTTGAAGATGGGGCATCCACAACTCCTCTGGGCAACCCGTTCCAACATCTCGCCACCCTCATCGTAAAACACCTCTTCCTCATGTCCATCATCTCCTCCCCCTCCATCCAACGTTCCTCTCCCCTTGCGGAGGCAGCACCTCCAAGACCAGCCCGGTGAGATGCTCCTCAAGAACATGTGGTGCAAGCACCCCAAACCTCTCGGTTTCACGGGCGTCGGGGTGTCCGTCCGTCCGTCCGTCCCCGCCCCAGTCACCAAGGCAAGAGGCATTTCCCCACTTCCTCCCCCAGCTGCGTGGCGCAAGAAGTTGGATGAGGAAACGCTGAGGGAGCTGCAGCTCCGGCGGCTTCTCCACAATCTACTGGGTGGGTGCCCCGGGGGAGGATGTTGGGTTTGGGCTCTCAAGCCACAGCGGGTGGGGGGAAAGAAGGAGAAGATAAAAAAAAAAAAAAAACAAAACGAAAAGAGAAACCTCTTGGTGCACAAAGCGTCCCCACGAAATAAAAAACATGGAGGAGGAGGACCACCACGATGAAGGTCTGGGGTTCTCCGATGGCCACCAGAGCGACCCGGAGAACGGGAAGAAGAGGTCAGGAGATACGGCATCTCCAAGCATCGCCCAACACCCGAAGAGGAGCCGCAACCACCTCACCGTGACGCCCTCAGCCGGGAAAATCCATCCTACCAGCCGGAGGATGGAGACCACCCAAAGCCCGGATTTTCCGCCCCCTCCCAGCCCCGGCGCTGGATTTTGGGGGGGGGGGTGGAGGTTGGGGGGGGTTTTTTTTGGTGAA